CCCCTCCCCCTTTCAAAATCCTGGCTACGTCCCTGCTGAATACTAATAATAAATACTTCATACTTTTACAGTCACTGCAATTTAAACTATAGTAAACTTTATACAAATATGTTAATTAAAGTACCGTTTGTAGCCGCGCTATGGTACATAATTCGTAAGTTCACTGGCTAGCCGAAGTCTGTTCTAAGCTACCGCACTCTTTACTGTACTTTGTCTACACCATGGTCTACACTCACCCACGAAATCCGACCGAACTTGGTCTCTGCCTAACAAGTGGAACGGGTAAACTTTGACAGTAAACCGTAGAGCGTAAACTTGATGGAAAGTCCACTTCAGCTCTCATGTTTGAAACACTAGGTCTAATAACCCTTGATAAATCTTGAACATAGTCAATTCCTAATCAATGGTGAAATACAGTTTAAATGTTTCTTCGAGAAATCAAGATCCAACCAAGTATTACTTTTTGGTAAATTACTCGAGCGTGTAAAAACTGAGGCAAGCGTCATTGGTAACCACACCGACCGACGACTTTTAGTGACCTTTCTAGTACCTCATTATTATGCAAATTATGACCGCTTATTGATCTATTATAGGCACCGACAAGGATTAAAGTACTTGCTGTTTTAAATCCTTTTTATGTTGCTGCCATAGAGAAAGAAAATAATGTTGCTGCTGAATAAATCTTGAATAAAGGGATATGATGCTTGCCAATCCATTAATTGCATACTGGGAGTGGGTTGTTGGTATATTCTATACAGGGGCGAATCCAGATGTCCGAAAAAGGGGGTGGGGGTGGCGAAAGGGCGACCGATCGTGAGACAACTCTACCTGTAGTAGGGGGTACAGGGTATGCCCCACGATTTTTTTGCTTTCCAGACGCCCGGCGATTAACAATTTTTTTTAAGGGGCGTGCGCGGGCCGGCAGCATTCCCCCACCCAATCCCCTGCTATCATCGGAAAAGGTCCACATTGTACTGAATTTAATGAATATTAACTTGTTATTTTTTAGAAATAAATATAAAAGGGAGTCTAAAATCTATATTTTAAACAGCAGTCTATGGTAATCGCATTGCAATAACAGTTTCAATTATATTGTGCAAAACACAAATAATATAACTATAAATCTAATAAATATTTCACCTTCGTAATTTTATGTTTTTGGTATCAGTAATACATCTCAATGTTATTTTCTGTAATAAAGATTAAAAGGGAGCCTTAAATCTTTACATTTTAGGACACATAGAAAAATTTATTTGATTATCACTCTTTTAAAAAAAAAAAAAAAAAAAAAAAAGGTGATAAGGGGCCGGCAATTTTTTTTTTTTTTTCAATCGGAACAATAGAATATTGCTTTTTAATGGTGAGGGAGGGACTGTTTTTATTTGGCAAGAATATTGTAAATATTGTATAAAAACACTTTTAATTTTACTGTTTTTTTAGAGAAAATGTATTTCCAGTCACGAAATTGCATTGTTTTTTTAAGTTGTTTAAATAAATGATGCGGCAAATAAAAATTTTTTTATTCCCTGAACAATATTTCCCAAATTTGTAATGCAGGCTGGAGTGATAATCTAACAATTTTTCTATGTGCCAACAGCAATCTATCTTTTGGCCAGTATTTCACATACAGTAGTTGGTCCATCTTTGC